AAGAGAAGAAGAGGTTGCAGAGCTGGACAAAAGGTCCAACAAAAAAGGAAAACTAAGTCCTTAGCCCTAGCCACTATAAACAACAACACCGTTAAAATCTTCAACCTTTCCTCACATTCTATGGACGAATTTGAGACCTCTGTACTTCGCAGGGGTCTCAGCTTTGCCCATAACACTTCTCCTAATGATTTCTCCATTTTTCTTGATTTACACAGATTTATACGTAGACTCACCCTCCATCGTCACTTCCTTTTGAAACATACTAGATCCATCCCATCGATACAGACACCTACAGGACACTGTCCAGAGATAGACATAGAGGGTGATGAGCAGACCCTTAGAGATCCAGAGACACTGTGGGACGGCATGGAATTCACACCTGAAACTTTTCCTGATATTGATCCAGACATCCGACATTCTAATTTTAGACCACGGTCTAATTTCTATCCCTATCATTTCAAGGGAAGTTTCCTCTCCACCTTCTATCAACTAGTACATACAGATTTCAGAAAACTGTGTTCCAACAAAAGAGGTAGAACAGGCAATCTCACTCAGAAAGAAAAAATAGCTGTTAAATCCCTCTGTGATAACACAGATTTAGTAATCAAACAGGCCGATAAATGTGGGGGCTTAGTAATTCTTAATAAGAATGACTACATTAATGAAGCCAATCGACTACTGTCAGATTCCACCACATATGTCCAATTACAAAAGTATCCCACTAGTGATTTCAAAAAGAGATTAGATGAACTACTCAGCAAAGCTCACTCCTCTGGTATACTATCAAAGACTGAATATAAATTTCTTCTAGTCCATCACCCTTGCATCCCCTACTTTTACCATATCCCTAAAATTCACAAACATCCCACTAGACCACCTGGCAGACCGATAATAGCAGGGATGGACAGCCTCACCTCCAACCTAGCCAGTTATATCGATTTCTTCTTACAACCGCTGGTGACAGATCTCCCGTCTTATGTCCGGGATTCTGGGCACATCTTAGAAATTCTTAAGGAATGCCAGTGGAGAGAGGGCTACCTATGGGCATCTTTGGATGTAGCTTCTCTCTATACGTCGATAGAACACCAGTTCGGCCTTAGAGCAGTTCAGCATTTAATGGCCAAGTCCGGGAACTTCAATTCCTCCCAAGCCAATTTTATTCTGGAGGCCATTGAGTTTGTGCTGACACATAATTATTTTTCGTTTCTAGATTCCTATTATATGCAACTAAAGGGCACTGCCATGGGCGCAAGTTTTGGTCCATCCTATGCAAACTTGCTCATGGGGTACTGGGAAGAGTATCATATCTGGTCCAATAACCCTTTTGGAGCCAATTTAGTCCTGTTCGCCAGATACATCGACGACATCCTCATTATTTGGGACGGTACTGCCACAGAATTCTCTGCCTTTGTGAACTACTGCAAGAATAATCCCTTCCATCTAGACTTTACGTCTGTATTAGATGACAGAACATTAGTCTTCTTAGACCTTGAAGTAGGAGCTGATGATAATGGAAGGATTACGTCCAAAACCCATTTCAAACCTTCAGCGGGCAAATTCCTACTTACACGCGAAGAGTAACCATCACCCGAGATGGATCAGGAATGTCCCCGATGGCCAGTTTGGTAGGATCAGACGTACATGTACTTCAGATTCAGACTATGTGGCTCTAGGGGACATCCTAGTGAAAAAATTCCTGGATAAGGGATATGATACCCATCTGATCAATAAGGCTTTTGAGAAACATCGAGTCCCCGCCCCTAAGAAAGTACATCATAACAGTGATACCTATAATATCAGTTTCTGTACCCAATTTAATGACGGGGCTTTCCAGATCTCAAAAATTTTAAAAAATCACTGGCGGATTCTTAGAGAAGACCCCATCCTGAAGAATTTTCTTCCTAGTCTCCCTAAGGTCATCTATAAAAAACCCAAAGACCTTCGTAGCAAGATAGCCCCCAGCAGACTTAAGGCCTTTAAGGCAATTAATTCAGGTAAAGGCATTTTTGGCCAAACGGGATGCTTTAGGTGTAATGTACATAGTTGTGGAGCATGCCCATTTCTTTGGCACAGGAAAAAAGAAATCTCTCATTTAGGAGGAAAAAGCTTCCCCATCAAACAGTTCATCAATTGTGCATCCCAGTTTGTCATTTACGGAGAGGTCTGGCTAATAAATTAGAAGAGCTTGAACTTATGATACTCGAGGAGGACTTCGATATAGTGGGAATAGCGGAAACCTGGCTAGACAGCACACATGATTGGGCCACCAATATAGAGGGGTACAACCTGTTCAGGAGGGACAGAGGTGGGAGAAGGGGGGGTATGCATTTATGTTAAAAATAATCTAAATATGCATATAAGGGATGATATCCCGTCCCATAGTGGGGAGGACGTGGAATCCTTATGGCTAGAACTGGATACAATGGACGATAGTCGTAAAGTTATTGTGGGTATTTGTTATAAACCTCCAAGTATAGGGGAGGAGGGGGAGGCTCATCTACTGTCCGAAATAGAAATAGCTGGGAGGGAGGGCAATGTAGTCGTAATGGGTGATTTCAATTACCCGGACATAAATTGGGGTAATGGAACCTCAAGTTCAACAAAGGCGGGCCGATTTCTGAACATGTTGCGAGACAATTTCATGGACCAGATGGTGGAGGTCCCAACTAGGAAAAATGCCATCCTTGATTTAATCGTCACAAACAAAGCAGAATTAATCAAGGACATTGTAATTGGGGAGACACTGGGTAATAGTGATCACAATGTGATTACATTCAATATTGGATACAGGAAAGGGAAGTGGGCTGGTAGGACAAAAACCCTTAATTTCAGAAGGGCTAACTTTGATAAACTGCGCCACCTAGTGGGGGACATCAAATGGGAAAATGTATTTCATAAACTGAAACTCGGACCAAAAGCGGGAATGTTTTAAAAACACATTACATAAGGCCATTGCCAAATGTATACCATTGGGTAATAAAAGTAAAAGATCACAAACAAAACCTGTATGGCTGAATAAAAATGTAAAGCATCACATAAAGGAAAAGCGAATGGCTTTAAAAAAAATATAAGATAGAAGGGACGGCATTGGCGTTCCAGAACTACAAAGAAAGCAACAAAATATGCAAACTAGCAATACGGGCGGCTAAAATAGAGTGCGAAAGACATATTGCCACAGATAGTAAAAAAAAACTCAAAAAATGTTACCAATATATAAACAGTAAAAAGGGGAGAAAGGAGCAGATAGGCCCAATAAAGGACAAAAGCGGGAAGTTACTTACAAATGACAAGGAGAGGGCAGAAGTACTGAACTCTTTCTTCTCCTCAGTATATACTCAGGAGGGAAACGGGTTTGATATACAGGATAAAACACAGAGTTCATCACAAAATATAGCCAAGTGGTTGACGGAACCGGGGATACAACAAAGACTTAGTCTACTTAATGCAAATAAAGCAGTGGGACCGGATAATCTGCACCCCAAAATACTCAAGGAACTAAGCACGGTTATAACAAGACTCATTTTTAAGGACTCTCTAATGACTGGTAGAGATCCGAGTGACTCCAATTTTCAAAAAGGGGGCTAGATGCCAACCTGTGAATTACAGGCCAGTTAGTCTTACATCGGTAGTTTGTAAACTGTTAGAGGGAATGATTAAAGAATATTTAGTAGAATTTGTTCGGGATAATGGTATAGTTAGTGATAACTAGACATGTGCGATTCGTTTCGTTCCGAATTGAAATTCGGACGAATTTTCGGAAATTTGGACATTCGGATGTATCCGAATTCCGAATTACAGATATAACGAATGCAAACGAATCCGAATTTCCGTTTCCGAAATTCGTTAGCGGCAGTTCGTTCGAACGTTCATTTCGTTTTCGTTTCTTATTCGTTTCGTTCGAGCAAAGTAACATTAGAGAAGGAGAAAAAAATTGTTTTCCCCCTCAAATGTCACTTTGCTGCAAACGAACGAACGCATGAGCGAAACGAATAAGAAACGAACACGGAATGAACGTTCGAACGAACTACCGCTAACGAATTTCGTCCGAATCTGAATTCCGAATCCAAATTGACTTTCACACCCGAATCCCGAAAAACTAAATAGCACAAATCCGAATCGAAACGAAACACATTTTTTTGGCAGTGCACATGTCTAGTGATAACCAGCATGGGTTCAGGAAAGACCGTTCCTGTCAGACTAACCTACTGACTTTTTACGAGTGGGTAAGTAGAGATCTGGATGGAGGGAGGTCTGTGGATGTGGTATATCTGGATTTCGCTAAGGCTTTTGATACGGTACCTCATAAACGCTTACTATACAAGCTGAGGTCTATGGGCATAGATGGAATGGTGTGTACATGGATAGAGAACTGGCTAAAGGAACGGGTACAGAGAGTATCAATAAATGGTGCCCTTTCAGACTGGGCTAGTGTCATTAGCGTGCCTCAGGGTTCTGTGCTGGGCCCCATGCTATTCAACCTGTTTATTAACTACATTGGGGACGGAATACACAGTGATATCTCAGTGTTTGCTGACGATACCAAAATTGGGAGGGTAATAGAAACGGACCAAGATAGTGTAACATTGCAGGAGGACCTGGATAAAATAGGGGAGTGGGCAACTATGTGGCAGATGAGGTTTAATGTCAAAAAATGCAAAGTTATGCCCTTTGGGATAAAAAATAAGCAAATGGGTTATACAATTATGGGTATGCCGCTAGGGAAGTCTGAAATGGAGAAAGATTTGGGGGTCATTGTAGACCACAAACTACATAATATATTACAGTGCCAGGAGTGCCAGGAGTGACTGGTGAGGAAGCCTGTCATCATCCAATCGGCCAATCAGCGGGAGAAGAGGTCAGAAAGACTGGAGCAGATGTCACAGCCTAGTCATTGGCTCCATTCTTACGTCTTCTCCCGCTGATTGGCCGATTGGATGATTGACAGGCTTCCTCACCAGTCAGGAGTGACTGGTGAGGAAAATTTATTTATTAATAATTGCTTTTGAGGAGTTTGACCATTGTTTTAAAACTTCAAGATTATTTTTCAGCATAGCAGTATTCTGCAACGCTCCAGCTGCCTCAAAGCTGCTTATTTCACCAAACTGTGGGAGTCTGCGTCTGGTCTCTTTTTTATCCAAATCCACATAAAAGTTCTCATCTTTGTCAAATTGAAACATGAACTCTCCTGTCAGTTCCATTGTCTGGTCAGCACATCTTCACCTGTAGAAGACAGCAACAAATGTTTTTTAGTTGTTTCTTTAAGAGGGATGTATTTTTGAATATTTTTTCATGTAATATTACATTAAGGCCACTAGATTGTGTGGAGCATAGAACATCAACCCCTTCGTGACTAACGACGTACAGTGTACGTCGCCAGCATCGGGGTTGTTTAAACAGACTCCCGGCGACTTTTGCCGCCGGGAGTCTGTTTAAACTTGTAGAGCCGACTGTCGGCTTTACAACAGAAGCGATCCTGGCGACTTACCTGTTGCCAGATCGCTTCTGCGTCCCGAAGAAGACGGCTCACTATGTTGTGGGGCAGGAGGAGGCGTGGCGGTCCATTGAAGTTAATGCTGCAAGCACTATTTTGTTCGTACCGGACCGCAGGCATTGTTCGGACCGGACCGCATTGCGACCAGAGGGCGTGGCTACAGTGCCATTCACTTCAATGGACCGCCACGTCGCGTCCTGCCCCACATGTACTGGTACGCTGAACTACTTGTTAAATCATACCAGAAGATTTAAATTAAAAGCCTTATTGTATGATTTATCAAGTAGTATAGAACAAATATAGCACTATGTGGTTATATTAGTAAAATCGGTATTGCATTTACATTGACCCCAAACAATAGCTACATGGGGTTTTACATTTTCAACATATGCCTCTATATATATATATACTGTATGTATATGTAGGTATACAGTGTGTAGATAGATAGATAGATAGATAGATAGATAGATAGATAGATAGATAGATAGATAGATAATATGTAGAAGTGTGCGGGGACATGCAATGTAAAGGTAATACCGATTTCACTAATCTAACCACGTAGTGCTTCATTTGTTCTGCACTACTTGATAAATCATACAATAAGACTTATAATTTTAATCTTATGGTATGATTTACATGTAGTACAGAACATGGATATATTAGTAACATTTGTATTGCAATTACTGTACACAGCATATCACCAATCACATGGACTGAATAATCTTTGCAGGAAGTGTTTAGTGAAATGCCTGTAAATGCAACACAATCCAGGTTGTTCCTTCCCAGTCCTGCTCCCATGGACAGTACATGTGTGCAAGTGCTAAGATGTACTGTCCATGTACAGCTAAAGACATAAATGCAAATACAGATAATGAATGTTAACATTTTTTTTGTTTGTTTCAGACTTACCTTTAAAGTTTTAATGTCTGGCTGTACCCTCCCCCTCCTTCTCCTCCGTGTCTGCCGGATCTCTGTGACAGGCATCGGGGGGAGGAGAACACACATGCTGTATCCAGCTTTAGACATGTACTGCTATTAGCGTAGCAGGACAGCTGGGGTCTCAGACGGTCTCTGCAGGGTCTTAGGTAGGCTTTGCAAGATCTGTAGTGGCCTATGGTTGGCTCTGCAGGGTCTCAGGTTGGCTGTGCAGGATCTGTGGTGGGCTATACGGAGTTTCAGGTGGCCTGTGAAGGATCTCTGGTGGGCTCTGCAGGATCTCAGGCTGCAAAGACCACCTGAGACCCTGCAGAGCCCACCATAGATAATGGAAGCCCTACGAGACCCCACACAGTGATTTCAGCCAAGAGTGTAGATTTGTTCAAGAAACGTTTGGACAATTTCTTGAGGGACCGTAATATCCAGGGATACCAGTATCCCTAAGAATGAGATGATGCGTGGACCTATATGGGTTGGACTTGATGGACGTATGTCTTTATTCAACCCCAAATACTATGTAACTATGTAAGAGATCATATCAAAAGCTTTTTATACATCTAACGATACAAAAATACCTATTGTCATGTTTCTTTTGTCAATAGATATTAAATGTATTATACGCCGTACTTCATCTGCCCCTTTCCTCCCTGGCATATAGCTCACCTGATTTGTATCTATTAAAGTTATTATCACTCTATTTAATCTGACAGCCACTATTCTTGCCAATATTTTACCATCTATATTGTGCAAGAATATTGGGGATATTGGGGTTATTCCAGTTGGTATGATCTATCTCAGGTTTTGGAAGCATTACAACTGCTGTCATCAACATATCTGAGCCCAGTTGCTCTCTTTGTAAGAAATACTATTAAACAGCTTAGTCAAATAGGGCCCCAATATTGACCCAAATTTCTTATAGTACATTGATGTTAAACCGTCTGGTCCTGGCTGCTTCCCAATTTTCAACCCATCACCTGTAACATTATCACTTCATCTAACATTACCCCAGGAGCCTCTGATATTCTTGGAAGCAATATTGAATCTACAAACTTTTATATTTTCTCTTTCACTATTTCTTCTTCTAAGGCTTCTTTGTAAGGCTATGGCCGGGAGTTAGTGCGTTACTGTTATGCATCCTTCAAGTTAAAAATACCCTACTTGTAAATTCTTCACCGCGTGAGTGAGGGAGGCTATTTGCTGGCACAAAGCCTCCATGGGAGAGGCACTCCTCTTGGTCTCAGACATTTTGGCTGAATGGTAATATCACGTACCTGGTAGAAGACCAAATAAGCTAAGGTGGCCTCCCTTGCGCCTCTTGTCTCACACCCCTGGAAGTGGGGACAAGGAGTGAGAATAACAAGGTAGCACAGGTGCCAAGGTGTACAGACACTGTGCCAGGTCACAGTCCAGAAGCAGGTTCCCAGGGAAGATGAAGCAGGACCAGGATCCAGCTGACCGTTCAGTGTGGGCCGGAACAGGAGCAAAGTCAGACAAGCCAGGGGTCACACCAGTCGGGCAGCACGGTACCAAGGGAGAAGACAGAAGTGAATCCAGGAACAAGCAGAGGTCAGGGGCAGGCAGCAATCAGGCATAGTCAAGGCAACATGTGATCAACGAACAGAGTAACAGGAAGCAAGGACACAAGCTGAAAGGCCATTCAGCACTAGTCAACTGGGCAGGCTGGTTTAAATAGACCCATCAATCAGAGGGAGCCGTGCGGCTTTCCGTGTGCCAGCGTTAGCGCATCTCTGCGCGTCCGCTATGTTGCATGCCCCTGTGCACTAGTGCATGTTTCCTGGCAATACAAAAGACCGGGACCCGCACATGTACAGTAGCGCACAAACTCCCGGCCATAGACTTACACTCATTTATCGGTTTAATTCCCCTCTGGAACCCCTTCAGGATCTTTACCAGATCACTTATATGCCTTGACATGCTATTTTCAAACAAATTGATTTGAGAAATATGCTCCTTACAGAGTTGGTTTGCCTGCAAAATGTCCTGCCTATTCTTGCAATACATTTTATTCTGTGTCCAAAGAAGCTAATTTTTGGCTTCCTGTGTCAAGACTCTTACAGAGTTTTAACTCCCTCCATTTTCTTTCTTATGCTGGCCGTCAGATTTTCTTAAAACTTTTCCAGTTGTCTACTATACTTTTCCCCCATTTTCTTTTATGGGCTATCCCTTTCTTCTTCTTCTAAATAGCTATCTGTATTATTCTACCTCTTATTGCTGCCCTATGGGCTTTCCTCAAAGTAGCCATCGATGATACTCTTTGTCTTTGTTAGATTCAAAATATTCTAACACACAGGATCTTATTTGTTCATAAATTTTGGGCTCACTAAATCATGGTCTGTCCACAACACCGCTTTTATATCTGCCTTTCCTATACATGTAACCATTGCTAATTCAACAAACACATGATCAATACTATGGTCTACATCCCTAGTCCATGCGTGAGTGTAAGAGGGTAATGATGTGGAGTAATGAGAAAGAAGCATCTGATATAACGAGGATATGAGGTGAGTCGGAGGGGTGGAGGCAACGCATAATAGCTCAAAGGGTGTGACGGTTCGGGAAATGTCAGCGGTAGTAAATAGTCAGTTTACATACCGATACCTGATCCCCTGGGTCTATAATCCTTCCTTGCCCTGCCCTGGTGTCTTTAACCCCTCCGTGACGGGAGACATACAGTGTACGTCCCGTCACAAAGTGGCTATATGACTGGCCACGTACACTCTACGTGCCGAGTTATATTAGCCTCTGTAATGTTGGTAACTGCTGATTCTCAGCAGTTCCAGTCATTAATGAATGCCTCACTAATGAGGCATTCATTAATGAAATAGTTAAACTTTTGTAAAAGCTTCTTTCTTAATTAAATTAAATTAATGAAAGAATGAAGCCTTTACATTCAAATACGGGTTAGCTAAATAGCGATCCCGTATCTCACAGCTGAAGATAGCAGAGAGGTAGCAGTGACTCACCTCTCTGCTATTCGTTTTGACAGCTGTATAGCCTGGCCCGATGTTAAATGATACATTTCAACCACTAGATACAAATGTATCTCTTGAGTGAAATGTATCAGTTTTGATCAAAGACCTTTAGTGAGATCTGATTCTCACATGCTGTAAGGATCAGTCTCTAAAGTTATTATTAGCTGTTCCTAAGTTTGGAGCAGCCTGATAATAACTAAAAATTAAAAAAAAGTTAATTTATTAAGCAGTCATAGTGACTGCTAGATATAAACTGACAAAAAATGTTTTTTTACAAAGTGTAAAAAAATAAATAAAGTGTACAAAAAATTAGGAAAATAAAACTTTTATATATAAATATATTTTTATACTATAATTATTATTATTTTGGATACTACATTGTTCTGGTACATTCTGTTGCAACCTATCATTAGATGCATGCCACTTAGGTTCCCTTTGCTATTGTTATTAGCAATATTTATAAACTCTGCCGAAGATGAAATGTCATGGGTCCTGTAGGCAACATTGTACGTATACCTTTTTTTCTATGCATCTGTTGTATGTTTTACCTTACCCTAAACTAATAAACTTGATTTGTTCAAAAATAAATTTTTATGTATCTCATATCGTCTGTTTGTGTCTTTACTTTTAAGAACGGCAATTTCTCTCTTTTCCACCATTTCAATGCTGGGATTTTTCCTCTTCTTGCGGACTTTTCCCCTCTTTTTGGCCCTCTGAACCCTAATGTTACAAACGTCCTTTTTGCTGAGTCCAGAGTCTTTACATATGCTTTAAATGCTCTATGCTTTTGGACGGTAGTACGTGCTAAATCCACAAACAGCTGGTATGCGGGTCCTTGATAGACCAATTGCTCTTGCTTCTGTGCTGTTGGTAACAGCTGCTCCTTAGTACTAAAAAAATGCATTATGATTTACATAAGCATTACTGCTTATGTAAATCAGAAATTGTCTCTGGGAGACCCCTTATTCCCAAATTTGACCTTCTGTCCCTATTCTATACACCTTCCACCCTATTTTCCAGGGCTTGTTTTGCAGCCTTAAATGATTCCACTTCTTCCTCATGCCCTAAGATCGTCGTCACCGTTATAAAGAATTACGGAAAAAAAAAAAGACTGTCGTCACATCATCCAGCCTGCGTTCTATTGTGTAAATCTTACCACCCAAGTCTCTTATCTCTTTAGATGTTCTGTTATGTTTTTTTACATTTTTTCTAAACTCTAAGCAGGGATAACTCTGGGTCTGTCAATACTCCCGCCAAAGAGTCTCTAGTTTTCACCCCAGCTGTCCTGGTTTTCACCGGGGGTGCCCTGCTCTCTGGCTCCTAGGCCCCTTTTTCTTTTGCATGTTTGGACCAGACCAGGAGTCCCCCTATTACACCTCTCCACCAGCTTTTTTGTCTGGGATGCTTCCCTGTGGGGGATGGTGTTCTCAAGGTGATGGGAAATGGAGCATTCCCATGATGGTCATAAGCTCAATTTTAGTCTCATCTGACCAGAGAACCTTTTTCCATGTGTCTGGAGAGTCTGCCACATTCTCTTTGGTGAACTCCAAATGTGTATTCTTATTTTTTTCATTTAGCAATGGCTTTTTTTTTCTGGCAATTCTTCCATAAAGACCTACTCTGTGTATTGCACCGCTTAAAGTGGACCTATGGACAGATACTTCCATCTCTGCTGTGAACCTTTGCAGCTCCTTCAGTGTTATCTATGGGGTTTTTGTTGCATCGCTAATTAATGGTTTAGCGTGGTCCAAATATTGACTTTCAAGTCAGCACAGAGTCACTCAGTGCTTGGTAAATGCTGAAGTCTTAATAGCGGTAGATTTACTAAAGGAGTTAAGAATGTTTGTTGAATTATCCAATCACGTGCAAATGAAATAAATAAACAGGAATTTGCGTTTCACATTATTGCACTATTGTATTGACTCTTCACTCATCTTCGAGTAAAGATTTTCAACTCCTTTTTTAAATTAGCCTTGTTGTGTACTCCTGAAAATGTCTACTTGTGTAAATCAGCCTCAGTATACAACAATTGTTTTTCACACACTTTTTTTTTTATCAGGTACATCTTATCAATATATTGTGTAATGTAATTTACACTAATCAACATTTCTCTTTTCCGCTCTTTTATTTTCATGGAGCAAATCACAAAATCCGTAATTCAGTACAGGCTGACAGTAAAAAGGTTTCGCACAAATCGTAGATTACAGTTGTCTTAAAGCATAGAATGAAGGTTTCGGTACAGGAAGCTTTGAATAGAAAGAAGGTGCAGTCTTGCTGATGGTTCAGTATCAGATATTCTTCTCTAATTCTTTTTTCTTCACCCAGAATTTAAATTAGCGCTTTGAAAACTACAAATATGAAAACAGCTCAGAAGCATCAAATATTGATGACAGAACCTGCAAAAAGGAAGAAGGTAACACTATGTCAATTATTTACATCTTAAAGAAGAACTCCAGGATTTAAACAAATTAATCCTTGCAGTGGGGCTACCTCTGCACTTCAAAGAGCTAAGTGCTCTCTTTGGGGGGGTAGATAGGTGAGCGTTGACAGGACCGAGGATCAGGTGAGTAGATCTGCTTTATTCCATCCTCTAAATCAAAACTAGCATGTAACCCTTGCAGTTCTGTTTGAATCCTTTCTGCCCCCTCCTACTCTTCATTTTATTTGAATAGTTTTAATAGTAAAGGTAACTAAACCATGACAAATGGTTATTGGTTAAAGTTACAAAACCAAGTCAAAAATTGTCTAATTTAAACTGACCACATAACAAAACTTCAGAAAAGCAACTGTGTACAGTTTATGGGTCCCCATGACTTCAACAATGATGTGCACGTAAAATAATTGAAACATTAGAAGTTGTCTGTAGCCACTCCTCCCCTTGCAAGTAATACTGGGTGTAAATCAAAAAGGAAATTTCCATAAAAAGGGCAGACACAGCAATAAACACCAGGGCACATATAAATATTGGTAAAATACCTGCAGACTTAGTGCCCTCTTCCTTGATTCATATTCTTCATTCCTTTACAGATCAACACAATTGCAGCAATGATGCCACACATTCCATAAAACAGACCCAGACCGCATATCATATTCTCAGTAGTCTCAGAAACCGGCTTGGATGCTTCTGACTCTGCCATAAGGAAACACAACAGACAGCTTCTAAAAGTGTAAACACTAATTTAAAAATATTGATCCTAAATATACACAATTTCCTAAATATGCATACTTTGTAAAATTGGATACAGCACACATTTTTACAGATAAGCAGGCATTTTAAGGTGCTTGGACTTACCCTTGGTTAAATATCAGATTCTTTTATAATGCCATGGAATCCCCTTGAAATACCTATGCAAAGTCACAGCACACATGGGGCGGGCCTATTCCATGTGATACCATGATCAGGAAGTACATGCTTTGCGGACGCTGGATTTGGCAATGTGTTTGACCGGCCGGTCTTTGCTGTTTTAAACTGTGAGTTTTCTATGTTTTTTGAAAAATAAACGTGTATACTTGCCACACCATGAGGAGTTTTTCTTTTGTGATCCCACAAATGCTCGAGTGACAGGATACTGCCGGATAGAATACCTTGAATGTGGACGTATAGATTCATCTACACTGCTTAATTTCCACAAACAGTGGGGTGAGTGCGCACCCCAGAGGGGGATTCGTGGACACTTGCACAGCGGTGTTGAAATATTTTTGTTTGGGCTTCAATTTTTTTCTACTTTGGACTTTACACATTATCATCACGATTGAACTTTATTTGATGAATTATCACTGATTATTGCATAGGATTTGATTATGTTTGCCGTTATATAGTTACACAGTGGATTTTTTTAAGGATGCACTTGTTTGTTTCTTTTTAACAATTAAGGATATTGTTATGTTAAGACACTGAGATCACTCAACATTGATTGCATTTTTTATTTGTTTAACTGCCTCCGGGCCGGCCGTAGTAAAAAAACGGCCGGCCGGGAGCTCTCTAGATCTGAGCGGGCGTCTTTAGACGTCCGCTCAGACATGCCCCCTCGCGCGTGCCGCTCGGCGCGTGCTAGCGGGAAATGGGCGATATTTAAAAACAGGCAGCGATGCCTGTTACCATACAAGCGATCAGCCGGCTGTGGAGCCGTCGGATCGCATGTATGGGGTGCCGATCGCCCCCCCCTCCGTGGTCCCCCCCCACCGTTGTCCCGCTGATCCCGGGCTCCGCTGTGCCCGGTGCGAGCCCGGGATCAGCATGGTGCCTCTGTCACAGGGGATCAGAGGGAGCTCGGTACACGAGCTCCCTCCGGTCCCCTCTCCTCTGCAAGAATGCGGAAGTGTTTTATAATACATCACTTCCGCATTCTTATGTCACCCTCCAGCTTCAGAAGCTGGAAAGAAGCTGATGGAGCAGATCTGTGCTTCATAAGCTTCTTTTGGGGGCTCCTAGGTGACATTAGGGGTCTTGGAGACCCCTGATGTCTCCATAAAGAGGACCTGTCACATATTTTGCTATCACATAGGGGGGTTTTATTAGCCCCCGTATGTGATAGCAATAAAGTTTAGTGGAAACAAAAAAGGAAATAAAAATTTAAGTCCCCCCCCATAAATTTAAAGTTACACAAAAAAGAATACAAAAACAAAAATGTTTTTAAAGTTCCCAACCATACATACACGCATGGAAACATGCGTCGGGGGCGCATACGTGCAAAAAAGACTATTTTTACACATAAAACACCTACAGCGCTGCACACTCATTATTTTATTGTTTTGACCTTAAAGACTATAGTGCAGCAGCTTTCACACGTAATCCTTCCACAAGTGCAGATTTCACATTTTTACACAGCACAAACACACCACTAGTCCCCACTCTTTTCATATGGCAACGCCCATTGTAAATGCAATATTTTTTAAAATGAAGACTAAAGAAAAAAAAAAGACCTGCAAAATTAAAAACTAATACTAACTATGTAACCTACTATTATTCTACCACTCAGAAGGTGACAGAAAATCTCCAACTGGGACAAAGACAGAAATACAAATGTCATATGGGTTCTAGCCATACATACTTAGAATGAACATGTTTATTTCTGTGTGTAGCTATTGGATATTTTCCCTCACTTCCTGTCTGATGAAACTGTTGTCACTGGCCAAAGGCAGCCGAGTGAATAACTGAACCAAAGTGAAGGGAGCCGAATGCCGTTCAGCTATTCACTTCAGCCCTGTACGGCTGAAAACAGTCATACATTGGCTGGCTTTGGCTCCCTTCACTTCAGTTTGGCTGAACATGCTGTGCCGAAGTGAAGAACCCGTTCCAACTCAGCCGATCCAACATCTGGATTGGCTGAGCCGAACCTCCGGCAGTTCACTCGCTGCTGTTCGCCCTTATTCTCATTGGGGCCAAACAGCAGTGAGTGAATAGCCGAATGCCACCGAGCGAACAGTCTTCCAAAGCATATGCAACCATGTAGCTGATAACTGCTCGGCAAGAGCACCAAAATGCAAGTTGCTGAAAAAAAATAGTAATGAAAACTCAGTGCCAAAACTTCCACAAACTAAATTAATGTTTTAATGGCCTTTGTTTCTTGAAATGTTGATTAGGAATAGTGATGGCCAAACACCCCCGTGTTCGGTTCGTATTGAAAAAGTTTGAATTCGAACTTGAACCTAATGCAAGTCAATGGGGGTCGAACTTTCGGAAACGAATGTCCCCTTTAAGAGGGTTTATATGCAAGTTATTGGCCATAAAAGGTGTATGGGGGTCCAGGTACTGCCCTAGGGCACAGGACATAGTCAGAAACTGCTGACATGTTACAACCCATCACCCCCTTAAAGGGACAAAGTTTTTGCTCCCCCATGCTGCTTTAAGGACTTACCTTAAGTGATGCCTCTTGATCCGATCATCTTCTTCCTTCCAGTTGTATGTGGCCTTTTTTAAGGGGCATCAGAGGGGCCCGGGGACAATTGCCACCCTGCCCCTGTACACCCCTGGGCAGCATCTACAGCGTCTCCACTCCTCCAAACTAGTTCCCTGAACACCTTTGGTAGTGTGAGGTAGCTGCAGGCCCTCCTATTCTTCTCTGGGGGCCCCCCAACTGGAGGAACGCCAGGGCCCAGACGCAAATGCGACAGCTGCGACCCTGGTAGTTCCGCCAGTGTTTGAGCTCTAATGTGTATCAAGTGTATAAGGAAAATGTATGTTTAAGGTATTATTACCTTCTTGGCTTTGCAGATTTTTAAAAATGATAGATTTTTACCCACCAGGATATTCTGTATGCCAACATTCAATTGTTCGGAAGCAAGCACATGTAAGAAAGAAGCACAAGTATTCACTGCACGATCCCGACAGAGGGCATGTCCCCATCGACTACAAATATAAAGCTTGCAGCCAAGAATGGAAGTTCATCTTTGCAATATGGCCCACATTGGGAGAGACTGCATAGCCTGCTGGGGAGACATTGGAGCATTCTGACTGCCGACCCAAGGGTTGCAGAGGTAGTTGGTCCTAAACCTTTAATATCAGCACAACAAACAATAAATGTCCATGACTATTTAAAGGAGAACTATGGGGTCCAAGCTTTTCTTTTCTTTTGGATTCCATGGGCTATAGTAGTAAATCTTGCAATTCACTCCTTTAATCCCAAATGCACCCTAACCATGTAATCGGTACTTTAAGATGGTGGGTGGGTCTAAGCACTACAGAGAGGAGAGATCTTGACAATACTATGCTCAAATGGAACCCATCACACACCTGGCCGGACAGAACCCTTAAGTATCGGGTGGGTGCCCAAGCGACAGCAGATCCCTCCACAAATCAACGTGAATGTAGAAAAGGTCACTCGCACTCCAGCTTAATTTCAGTCAATATTTATTGACCTCTGTAGTGTCACATCATAGCGACGTTTAGGAACCGGTTGGCCCCTTCCTCAGGCAAACCACATTTACCACATTTGGGCAAGACCATATATGGTGAATGATGTCACTGGGGATTCCTGCCAGCTTGTTAATCAAGAGAAACAAGCTGAAAAGCATCCGATTACCATTTGCTACGATGTCAGCGTGAGACAGAGCGGTGAAGAGAGAGGGGAAAGAGCGGTGAAAGCGCAGGGAGGCCGAGTCAGTGGTTCTTACCATCCATTGCCGCTGCCAGTCTTCTCACCTGAGACTCTGCCTTCGCTCCTGCACGCCAGCGTGCACGCTCTGGCTATACACACCTGTGCACGATTAGAGCAAGCGCAGCCACAGCAGATAGAAAGTTAGAAAAAAAAAAGCTTAGGGCGGGCTGCATTCACTGTTAACGCCCCCCTAAAAGGAAAGGAGCTTGGAGGAGGGCTACAGGGGGCCTTTTTCTGTGATTATTCTGTGAGTAGTGATTATTTTATCTGGGATGAGCTGCGAGTTTGGAAATGAGGAAGAATGTCATTACTGTAAGAAGTATTTTTATCTTCCCTTAGGTCATACATCTCCTTTAACTGCTACACGGCCTGTTAGCCCCGCCCTCTCGGGCGAGCCGTGTGGTGCGCGCGAGCGGGAAGAACACAACATTTCAAAACAGGCAGCGATGCCCGTTAACATACAAGTGATCGCTTGTATAAGCTGCCGGCCCATGTACCCCCCTCCCTCTGCGGCCTCCCCTCCCGTTGTCACGCTGGTCCCGGGCTCCGCTGTGCCCGGTGCGAGCCCGGGACCAGCATACTGCCTCTCTGACAGGGGATAAGAGGGGGGTCGGTACACGATCTCCCTCCGGTCCCCTCTCCGCTGTCAGAATTCGGAAGTGGTGTATATTACATCACTTCCGCATTCTTGTGTCACTCTCCAGCTACAGAAGATGGAAAGAAGCTGATGGATCAGATCTGTGCTTCATAAGCTTCTTCAGGGGGGTCCTAGGTGACATTAGGGGTCTTGGAGACCGCTGATGTCTCCATAAAGAGGACCTGTCACTTCTTTTGCTATCGCATAAGGGGGTTTCTTAGCCCCCTATCTAATAGCAATAAAATTAAGCGGGGGAAAAAATAGGAAAAAAAATTAAAGTTACACATAAAAAAGAATTAAAAAACTATTTAATTTTTTTTAAGTCCCCCCCATACATACACGCATGCAAACATGCATCAGGTGCGCATACCTGCGAAAACGATGATTGCGACCATT